AGGTCACAAACTGACCTGCCATGAAGCTTTTAAATAATAAATGCCAAAGTTAGACACATAATCCTAGAACAAGTAAACTTTTACAAAAATAATAGGTTCAAGGACAATAAAAACAGGAATTTTTTTAAGTTCATGAGAAGAAATAGGCWAATTTGGAGAGAGATATCTAAAAGAATGCAGATAACTAGGATCAGAATCAGAAAGATGATTCTTTCTCTACTAGAGAAGTGACTTTCAGAAAGAAGAGATTACTCTTGAGAAAATATAAAAGGTAAGAATGTGGGAATAATAATGGGGACAACTAATACCTTTTTAGTTTTTATTATGTGSTATGGTCTGAATTTCTCCTCCAAAGTTCAGATGTTGAAACTTCGCTATCAATGTGATAATATTAAAAGGTGGGTACGGCTGGGCACAGTGGCAGAATCCCAGCTACTGGGCAATCTGAGGCAGTTGGACTGTAATTTACAGGCCAGTGTGGGCAATTTAGGGAGACCTTATCTAAAAATAAAACAAAACTAAACAAAGCACAAAGGGGTGGGGATTTGGCTTACTAGGCAAGCATTCCTGGGTTCAATTCCCAGTGAGGGGGGAGGGTTAGGAGGTGATTAAGTCAGGAGGGCAGAGTCTATGTGCATGGGATTAGTGCCTTGTAAGAGAGGTTTGAGAGAGCTGCTTCTCTGCCCCACCTTCTGTCCCTAAAGGCATGTGAAGACACAGCATTCTTCCCTTCTTAAGGACACAGCAAGAAGCGGCCAGCTTGGAGGCAAAGAACAACTCTTAAATATGTTAGTACTTTGATCTTAGACTTCCCACTTTCTACAACTATGAGACTAAAATATCTATTGCTATTGAATTACTTAGTCTGTAGAATTTTGTAGTAGTAGCAGAGATGGACTGAGATGTGTCTAATACTGCTCCTGAGTGTTTTATATGAATTCATTTATTTGCTGGGCATGGTGGCACATGTTTGTAATCCCAGCTATATGGGAGGCTGAGGCAGAAAAATCTCAAGTTTGAGACTAATTTAAGCAACATGGCAAGACCCTGTCTCAAAAAAAAAAAAAAAAAAAAGTTGGAGGGCTGGGTATACAGTTCAGTGGTAGAGCAACCCTGGGTTCAGTCCACAGGACCACATGTTATTAACTCATTTAGTCCTTGCAATAGCTATATGAAGGTACTATATGAAGCTGTCTGAACATGTTTTCCTTATCACAAATGTGTTCAAATGAATGTGGAGGGTTTCAGTGACATACTCCAGATCTAACAGCTACAAAGCTGCAGAACCTGTTSTAGACCCAGCAGTCTCTGTCCACAATCAGCATTCACCATGTTGCAGCCTGCCTTCCAGAGCCAGAAGAGCAGAAGATTACATCCAAAAAGAATGAGAAATGGCAAGTATCTGGTTTTCAAAGAGGGGGAAACTATGTGATGGAGAACCCTAGGAAACAAATTTAAGTAGGGGATTGAATTATGTTTTAATGCATGGGAAAAAGTCTTGAGCATGTGGATGAATCATGTTTCTCCAAGAAAGAATTAATGCCAAACTCAACTAATTTTTAACTTTATGGCTGCTGTAACTCATAAAACATGAATATAGCATTGTCATTTTACACCTTTATATCAGCACATTGTTTCTGTATTATTAAAGATTATAAAAATCTTCAAAATGGTCTTAAAGGTGAAGGTTTTAATTACAAAATATTATTTTATATGAATGGATTCATAGAYAGCTACTGTGCCTCAAAGGTGTTCATAAGTGAATCAGTACGAAGATGAATGGGTGTTTCTAGATGATGCAAGAAAAACTCTGTAGTTGGAATAAAATTATCCATTAATCAAGTATAAGATGGGTAGGACTGAATAGGAATTTTGTTTAAAAAAGTGCTAAAGGTTTTTACTAGAGTAAAAGTTTGATGTGAGTCAAAGAAACTATTGTCAAAACTGCTAATGCAATTGGTGTGCTATCAGAAACACAGTGTATAGAACAAGAGATGTAATAGATCACATTATCCTGACGTCACATCTAAACAACATGTTTTATCTGGCTGACACTATAATGAAGGAATATAATCAGAAGGGCAAAATCTAGATAGTGAAAATCTGGACATCTAATGAACATATAACATAAGTTTATCCAATAAGATAGGTGGGTGTGTGAACATGAGTGTTTCAGATATAAGTATTGAGACTATGTTGATCTTTTTTGCCAAACAATAACATGATGTCATTCTAAGCAGAACACTCTGCCTGTTATGTTTAAAAAGAACAGAGGTGGTAAGGATGGAAGCAGAAAAACATGAGGGGTAAAGTTGCAGAACAGAGATGAAGGCTGAGTTGGGGTGATTTGAAATGGTGGGTTGCTATATCATTTGGTTCCACCATATTTTTATAGGTAAAGCCAAGATTTAGTAGTATTATCATAGGGTTTCAAACACCACAAGCCAAGGTATTTCGCCTAAGTTATATTTTATTTACTATATAATTTCATATTTTTTTAAAGAGAGAGAGAGAGAATTTTTTTAATATTTTTTAGTTTTTGGTGGACACAACATCTTTTTATTTTATTTTTATGTGGTGCTRAGGATCGAACCCAGCGCCCCGCGCATGCCAGGCAAGCACGCTACCACTTGAGCCACATCCCCAGCCCCATAATTTCAGATTTTAAAGGTATCTTATTAATATTCTAATCAAGGATTTGATTCTTTAAAGAAATCCTGTCTACAATAACATAGTCCTTGAACACTTCAGTGACAAGAAACTCACTACCTTATACAGCATTCATTTCATTTTTGAATAGCTCATTTTCAGAAGTCTTTTCTTATACTGAGTCAAAGCCTGCCTCTTTGTGATGGACAATTGAGAAAAGATAAAAAATGTTAGGGAGGAAGGTAAAAGCCAAGGGGAGAAGATGGTATTTGTTTCTTYACTGGTATATCCCCAACATACAGAATAGTATGTTTCATTAGGTATGTAAAAAATACTTCTCACTGAGCAATTTAGAAAATGAGTATCAGGTCATAAAGATATGACCACAGGACATTAGTTCATTAATTCTTAATGAGATAAAAATTATAATGTTTTCTCTATCCTCTATACATGTCTTGCTGATTCAGCAAATTTATACATGACAATGGGGACTTTAAATAAATGAAGAACAGTATTGTATTCTGGTTTACAACTTCTTGGGTACCAAATTTCAGCTCTATTTAAATGTATCTTGCCCTTCATATAAGGGATGATATACAAAATATGTACGGGTACAGACTGGGCACCAATTAATCAGAATGGATGCCAGCCAGTCTGTTCCAATCTATGGGAGAATCAAGCTATTCAAGTGCTGAGTTTAAATAGTACATATTTCTGTTTTATCTTTATTGTAATGAACAAGCCCTGCCTTTAGCTCCTGCTGTGCACTTTTGGAGGGTCTTCCATATGGTTGCTGCTAAGTATTTTGGCATTTTCCCAACTGTTACAATTGGGTCAGTGGGGGGGATTGTGTAGGAGTAATAAAGCAAGGGTGACTACAGCAGGGAGAAGTACGATTTCTACACACATAACAGCTTATTGCTTCTCATGCCTTCAAGCACGGCTCTGTGCTGTTCATTACAACGGGATGCCACGGCAATCTGCCTTTTTACTATAGAGCTTACTCCAGGAAAGGCCAGGCAATGGGTGTAGACCATCACGTCAGGTACATTTTCCCCTAATTTTTCCTTACTTTCTCTTCCAAGAACACCTAAATAACTTGAGGAGGAACAAGACAATTATACTTCACATATTACATCATTTTATGAAAGTCTTCTTGAGCATATTTGTGACTAGTACCAGAAAGTGATTATCATTGGCCATGAGGGCTCTGATATTTTACAAAGAGAAAAGAAATGAGAAGGCAACTGATGCTCCCAAATGGTTAACAATTCTTGAGACACGATTCATAAATCCCAAAATGAGTGATAATATTAATATTGTGATTGGAGTAAATTCCAAACAAGAAGTCATATATACTTAAAACAATAACAACAACAACAACACTGCTATGGTTACTATTATTTCAGCGCTGGGGATTGAACCCCAGACCTTGCACATGATAAACAAGCTCTCTACCAGTCAGCAATACCCCAAGCTAGAGCTATTATTTTTATCCTGTGGAAGACAGTATTGCTAAGCAGTAAATTGGGAGGAAAATAAGTTCAAAGCAAAATTAAGATTCCAAACAGTGAAATAATACATTAAAAAGAGATATGAAATACAAGATTGTATATTCCATATTTATACTTATACATGCAAGTATTCTTTAAGTATTTTATTATACTTTTCCTTTAAATGATATGGAGATTTTATTTTTATACCAAAGACCAATATACAGCTGTACAGCATTCTCATAGGTCCACCTAAGAGTCATGAATTTCTCCTGAATAATTACAAGAAATAAAGATAAAGAGATGTAGATATTTAAACCCGTATAGAAATATCTGTGTATTTTTATGTAGGCTTCCAGGCAAAAGCATTAAACAGAAAGTGGTGCATAAAGAAACTTGCTTCTCATGCCTTCCTTCCCCGCGCCATTCCCCAATCCTGGACACCATCGGAGACCCACACCAGGTCACCGGAGACTGGGGTCAAGGGCGACATGTGAAAGCTTTGGGTCCCCCAGTAGGAAGAGATCCCTGAGCGAGATACTGCAGGAAAGGGCGTGAACTCGAAAGGCAACCGCGGAGCGCTGAACTCAGCATTCCCACCAGCCCTCTTACTTTTTTCTTTCTTTCTTTTTTTGTAAGAAAAAAAAATTAATACTGGCAGCAACAGGACAGTTACAAATCAAGAGTGGGCCCAAGCGGTTCCGGGACGACCAGCACTTTCCCTAGGACCCTGGAGACCCCCTACTCCAGCCTCCCCGAAGCAGGACGGAAAGCGCTAAACAAGGCTTCCTTCTGTCCGCAGTCAGCAGGGACACCCGCTGGAGCCCCAGCCGCGCCCGCCAGCTCCCGACGCCGTACCGGGCCAGCGTGGTATCCCCCAGCCACGACCCCGCAGCGCCCAGGAACTGGCAGCCGTTGAAGTGAGGGCAGAGGCAGCGGCTTCAGAGGCGCAGTGCGCAGGCGTGCGTGCAGATTGCGCAGGCGCCGCCTAGAAGTGACTTCTCCAAAAAGTGTCTTAGTTCCCGGTCACCTGAGCTCCCCGCGACGCGGCTGCGGTAGCTTGGCGGATACACGCCCTCCACGGGTCCTGTGTGGCGACCCGGCCCTTGTCCTTTTGCTCGGTCGCTCCGCCACCCCGAGCCCTCCAAAGGCCCGTCCTTTCCCTTCTTGCCTTTCCTAGTCTCGGGCCGGACCGGGCCGAGCCGGGCCGCCCGGGCGCGGTCCCCAACCATGGCGTCCCTCTTCAAGAAGAAAACTGTGGATGGTAAGTTCCAGGATGGGCTTACAGGGCCCAGCTGTGTGTTTTCCCGGCGTCTTTTAGGGTTTCCGGCTGCATTTCTGGCTGCTTTCCCTGGGGGCGGGGCTGGGTCAATATCTGCCCCACAGGTGACCGCCCTGGCTGCGTCACTTTTCTGCTTCCCCATCACCTCTGGCTCTACCTACTTCAGGCTCACCTGGACAGTCTGACTTCTGTCTCCAACACTTCCCCCACTGTTATTTACTATTTTTAGTTTTTCTGTAGCAGGGTTTTGAGCATTTTGAGGCGCAGGGTACTGCTCTCGCCTTTGAGTGTCATTAGACTTGGGGTGATTTGATGAATTTCTTGTTGGTGTCTTCTGCTTGTTTTTTTTTTTTTTTTCCCCTTCAATTTAGGATAGTACTACATAAGGCATTCTAACCATAAATCTGTGTGCTTGGATGTGGAGAGGATTAGCCTACTCCAGTTACAAAATGAACTTGGGTCTGGACCAACGGTTGTCCCTTTTAAGAACACCCCTGAGTAGACATGTGAAACAAATGTTACTTAATTGACTCCAGGAGAAACATAAAAGAAATACCAGGGAAGTGCCTGGGTTTAGTTTTCATAATGGATTTTTCTCCCTGGTGATTTTGCTAACTAAAGTAAGGGATGTATTATATATTATTTTTATAGAAATTTACATTACAAAGACTCTTCTTACTTTGTTTCATATGTTTAGCTCAATGTCATCWTAAGAAAAAATGAATGTACTGAAGTGTACAAGTTTTGAGTTCATATGCAATGACTGTAATGTATATTTATACAACACTGATTAATTAGTCTTGATATTTTCATTGACAGTTGATAGGTATTAAATTCATTCAAGTTATTTAAAAATTGTTTCCCATTAAATGTTGAGACTAAGTTGTTGTTGGTTCAACCAGAGAATCACTTCTTTGTAAGGGTCTAACCCTGCCACAAAAGGAGCAGTGGCAGCTAGACAGTGATTGGTACAACCACAGTGCTCTGTCCTGACTTGGAGGTAACTCCTTCTTTCCTTTGTGTTGACTGTTCCAATGCCAGCTAAATTGTTTTGGGGAAGATAACAAAGACATCATCTTTACCCTGCTGCTCTGTCCTTCATTTCAACACATAATGCCATTTTATCCCTAATCTCTCATAAATCATAATGCACTTTTGCTTATTATGTGATTGAAAAATATTTTTTTCAGATCATTGACTTTTTACTAATTGAAAAGTACCATTTACAATACCTGGAATAGCTACTAACTTGGTATATGATGTAGTACAACTATGTGAAATAGCTTTTTTGTGTGTATTTTTCTTGAAAATGCTTTTTAATCCTTTATTTTTTTTTTCAGTCCTTCGGTGTCAGTACTCAGTTATTGTGTAGTATTTCCAGGGCTGAAGGAGGGTAGGGTTTTTATTTTCTTATTGTTTGAGTTTTGTATATTGAGAATTTTTCTTGATTAGTGTTATGTAGTGAGAATGCTAAACAGAGGAAAAAACATTTTTTTCCTATTTGATGTTACAAAATGAATTCATTTTTAAGTTATAGAGTTCATACATCTTAGTTTTAGTTGCTTAATATCTGCAAAATATTTTTAAAAACAGATATCTTAGGTCTGTGCTTTCTGGTGCTTTTGGCAGTCTAGTGACTATTATACTTGAAGTACAGAGGAGAGGAAAAAAGGACAATGAAGATGTGCAGTGAGGGTGTTTTACTATGTATTCATTTGCAGTTAGTAAATCCTTCTAAGGAATGTTTTTGCTGAATAGACTTATTTTCTGGGGGAAATAGTCTTAAGGACTTTTGCTAGGAACCATACCACTAAATACCTTTGTGTAAAATTCCTGAATGTAATTTGTTCATCATATATGTTTACTACAACTACCAAGCTACATACTTTATGTTTTCTTAAATTATTAATCAAATCATTTACTCACATCTCAATTATACATTATATTTTCATTACTTTAATGCAGAGCTTTACTGATGCTTTTACTCCTTGTTTTATTAAAGGGAAGTTTTTTTGTTTGTTTAAAAGATGACAGCACTCTTAGCAGTAATGAGGCTATATATTATGAAATTTAATGTATTTTTATGCATGCCTCTAGATTCTCAGGCATGTTGATTATTGATCATAAGATCTTTTACTATATGCTGACTTTTTGTCTGTTCTAGCAGTAATGAAATTCTGATATATAAGGGAAATAGGTAACTGCTTGTGGATCTGGGGAATAATTGAATCTTTTGGTCTCTTCCRATTGGCTGGGAGAGTTATATACTATATCATTAAAGACGACTGTGCATGYAAATTAAAAAGAGAGACAACATTATAGCACTTATTACTATTCAGAGTTATGTTTAATTCATTTTTGACACAAAGATGAACAAGTGTCCTCAGTGTATACTTTCTTCTAGAAATTAATGAGAGGTGTATCTCAATGCCATTTAAGAGGAAAATTCTTTCCAATTTGAAATTACAATCAAGTATTTGACATTTTTTTAGTGACTTGTAAAATATATACACACACATGTAGRGTTATTTTGTGTATCTACAATGTGCCCCGCCCCCCAGTGGACTAATAGTGACCTATTTATTGAAGCTAAYTACGAACCTGTAAATCAGGATTCCATAAGGACTTGTCATAAATGCACAAACATCCATGCCTTTTATTTTTAAAATTTTTTGACATATATTTGAATCAGATGGGATTCAATTTCAATTTCTCATTTTTCTGAGTGTACAGGTTGCAGAATTACATTGGTCATGCAGTCACATATATACCCACAGCRATAATAATGCCTATTTTATTCTGCTGTCCTTCCATTCCCTCCTTCCCCTCCCCTCCCCTCCCATCACTACTCTCTACCCAAACTAATGTGACCTACTTCTTTTTTTTCCCCCTCACATCTTCATACCTGAATTCTGTATAATAAAGAGTGCCTCCTTCCCTCTTACATGCAATTCCCCTTCTCCCTGCCTTTCCCTCCTATCTCTTTTCCCTATCTAGAGGTAATTTTCTTCTCATGCTTTTCCTCCCTACCCCATTTTGAGTCACCTCCCTTATATCAGAGAAGACATTCGGCATTTGTTTTTTAGGGATTGGCTAACTTCACTTAGCATAATCTGCTCTAATGCCATCCATTTGCCTGCAAATGCCATGATCTTATTATTTTTTAGTGCTGAGTAATATTCCATTGTGTATAAATGCCACATTTTTTTATCCATCCATCCATTAAAGGACATCTAGGTTGGCTCCACAGTCTAGCTATTGTGAATTGTGCTGCTATAAACATTGATGTGGCTGTGTCCCTGTAGTATGCTGTTTTTAGGTCCTTTGAGTAAAGTTCGAGAAGAGGAATAGCTGGGTCAAATGGTGGTTCCATTCCCAGTTTTCCAAGGAATCTCCATACTGTTTTCCAAATTGGCTGCACCAATTTGCAGTCCCACCAGTAATGTATGAGTGTACCTTTTTCCCTGCATCCTTGCCAGCTCTTGTTGTTTGACTTCATAATGGCTGCCATTCTTACTGGAGTGAGATGGTATCTTAGAGCAGTTTTAATTTGCATTTCTCTGATTGCTAGAGATGGTGAGCATTTTTTTGTGTATTTGTTGATTGATTGTATATCCTCTTCTGAGAAGTATCTGTTCAGGTCCTTGGCCCATTTGTTGATTGGGCCATTTGTTTTTTTGTTGTTTAACTTTTTGAGTTCTTTTTATATCCAAGAGATTAGAGCTCTATCTGATGCAACTATGCCTTTTAAAAGGGACATTTCCTGGGGCTGAAGGTGTAGCTTGGGGTAGAGCATTAGAAAGGCCATGGATTGGATCCTCAGCACTGTTTAAAAAAAAAAAAAAAACAGTGAATTTCTTCAATCACTTTATAATTTTTATCTGGTATGTTCAATAAAGACAAACTTGAGGTCCTATTCTAAGACAGTACTATGCTAACAATTTTGCATACATTATCTTATTTAATTCTCATAAAGCCTATAAATACCACTATTATCCTCATTATATAGATGAGGAATTAAGAGGAAAGGAACTACCTTGCCCCAAATTATAAAGACACAAAGTAGAAGAGCTAGGACCTCTTCATTTACCTAGATTATCAGTGACTTCTAGGTCATCAATTCCAGTGACCACTTATTTTAATGATAATCTCTTGGGCCTGTGTTTTATATTTGATCCTGATAATAATTTCTTCTTGGAAAGTCTCCCTTTTGGCTTCCATGGCTAAAACATTTTCCTAATTTGCCTCTGACCACTACTTTTTCTTTTTCCAGTTTTTCTTTTTTATTTGTTAAACCTGAGCATTAAATATTAGTGGGTTTTGTTGTTGCTGTTTCATCTTGGGCTCTCACTGTTTAACAGTGCATGCTATCTTTGCATGATGCACTGTCCACTCATRTCTTAGTTATAAATTAAGTGCTAATGTATTCCAAAAGTGTATTTCTAGRTACAAATACCTAGAATTTTTATTTCTCGGAGCAGTATGTCCAACAATTTGCTGAATATCTGCAAATAGATGTATCAAAGCATCTCTAGTTAGAGATCCGAAGCAGAACTTTTCATCTTATTTAAATTGATTCCTTCCCAAGGTGGAATGGTGGCATATGCCTRTAATCCCAAGTGATTTGGGAGGTGGAGGCAAGAGGATTGTAAGTTTGAGGCCAACTTCAGCAATTTAGTAAGAACCTGTCTCAAAAATTAAAAAAACTGGAGATGTAGTTTAGTGGAATGCTCCCCTGGGTCTAATCCCCAATGGTGGGGAAAATCACTTTCTTCCCAGGGTTTTCTTCTTCCAGTGTGAGCAGTATTTGATTTTTGCCCTCTACTTTCAGCTAATTACCCAGTTGCTAACTACCAAATCCTGCTGTTTCTTTTCCTCTTGAGTATTTGATACTTGTAAATGTGTGGGTCTGCAACTCTTTGCTCTAGTTCAGATCCTACTTATCTTGCAATTTACTATATCACCTTTCTTCTTTTCTTTAC